GCTACCTCATGTAAAGTAATATCCTGTCATCAAGAGGGCAAACTCATTCCCATTTATGGTTACTGTATGTTTACTGTGAAATTGCAGGTAGCCAGAGATGATATAATGGGCTCAGAAGATCCATAAAATACTATATAGTTGTTTTGTGAGCACTTACTCATTTCAGTAGGGCATGCTCAAGAGGAGCTTTCCAGCTGATTGGGTCCTGTGTCTACCATAAAACTTACGGTGGTTGTGGTCGCATGGACTGCAGACTACACTACGTCAAGAAGGATAGATCAGCAAATGAGCTAATCCAACCCCTTCTACTCTGTGCCTGCCACCAAGTAAATGAGTTATATTCAACACTGGACCAGATTTCCACTTGAACAAGAGGACTTCTCCTTCATCTCTGATTCCTTGCTGCCCACAAAAATCTGCTCCAAAGTGTTGGAGCCAAGCCAAGAGGTGCCCCAACAATGACTTAGAATGGAAGGCAAGAGGTAAGGGCACACTGAATGTTGGCATCGCACAGGGTGCTGCTGAAAATTGAAAGCCCCAAGTCCACTGCTGCCTCCTGTAAAATGTTGGACATCTTGGTTGGAACACATCTGCTAAGAGCAGAAGACAACCATTTTACAAACAAAATAAAACACAACACGGTTGAAACCATTCTTCACAGTGGTGTTCAGTTATTTTGATGTGATTTTCTTAGATAAATGAAACATAGGATCCCAACATCATAAGTAGTCAGGAGGTCGTGATTCTTGCTTTCAGAAGAGCCTGTTTCCATTAATATGGCACATATTTTATAAAGAATTTGGTCAGTGTTAAGGCATGTGTATTTTCTGGCATGAATTTGCAGATCTTTTGTCTAACAATTTCCAGCTTGATAAGAAACCTCGGACCATATTCCATATGCTGTTGTCCCTGGCTGCTTATTGTTAAATGCAAGGGTGACACTGTGGTCTAAACCACTGAGCCTCTTGGGCTTGTCAATCAGAAGGTCAGTGGTTTGAATCGCTGCGACGGGGTGAGCTCCCGTTGCTCGGTCCCAGCTCCTGCCAACCTTGCAGTTTGGAAGCACACCAGTGCAAGTAGATAAATTGGTACTGCTGCAATGGGAAGGTAAACGGCACTCCGTGCACTCTGGCTTCTGTCACGGTGTCCTGTTGCACCAGAAGTGGTTTAGTCATGCTGGCCACAGGACCCAGAAAGCTGTCCGTGGACAAACACCAGCTCCCTCTGCCTGAAGCCAGATGAGCACCACACCCCATAGTCACCTTTGTCTGGACTTAACTGCCCAGGGGTCCTTTACCTTTTAACTTTGATTGTTAAATGCAGCATACAGGGTTACCATGGTCCTTGAATGGTTTTGATTGCAACCACAGTGTCATGTATTAAGTTGAAAGCTTTGAATGCAAATAAGATAGTCTTTCCATACGCCAGGAAAATTCCTGATATGCCCTGGTTTTTGGGTGTAAAAATGTTGGATTTTAAGTAGCTATTTTAGATTATTTGAGCCATGGCAGTTTTGGATAAAGGTCCTATTTCAATCCCAAAGGATGCCCTGGAAATCGGACAAGTCGCATTTCTGCCTCCTTCAAGCTGTGAGACAGAGATAGGCCAGGGTTTTGGCAGCTTTTCCACTTTAGAATTGTGAGATTTATTACTTTTCTCTCTCCTTGTTTATCTGAGAACATGTGTTGCATGCCTTACTTGGTTATTAATACTGCTGTCATGAATAGGCACAACAATGGTAGGGAAAGCAACTGACAAGTTTAGATCGACTAACAAGACTCATGACAGCCTTTTGGAAGGCAGGACCTGGTAGTATGGGGTAATTTAGTGCATCATAGATTCCCCCTCCCATTTCGTAGGAAGGAAAATATTGCTACGGACATGGTGGTCAAGCCTAGTATCAGTTCTACTAATGCTTGTGACTCATGATTCTCTAAATCCAGCAACTAAGGGACAATTTATACAAACAGGAGCACAGAAGTAGCAGTATATTCCATAGCAGGAAGAATGCTGTGTGTTTGTGATGGGCAGAAGTGTTGTGCAGAGCTTTTGATTAAGATGTAAAAGAACTGTGATGCTTTTCCAAGTGTACATTTCATGGGGGGTGGAATCCCATTAAACTTGCCTTTTTGTTGATATGAATCTATTGTCAGTTTGGATATAATATTCTATTTCATAACTCATCCAGTGTGCCTGGATTTATTTATTCTCAGTGTTATCATTGCCTCAACAAAAACCCCAAATACCCTTTTTAAAAGTCTTGATCATTTTTAACAAACATGCTTTTCCTCTACTTGTCAGTTGGTATCTAGCAAAGGGAATAATTGCCCATGTTCTGCTGAAAAACTTTTTTTTTTTTTTGAGACTGCTGAAATCAAAACAGAATCTATCTTCAGGATGCAGTGCGATTTCAAATATCTTAGTAAATACCTTGGTAAAGCCCTGAGTATAGAGGATTGCTAATGAGACTAGAAATTCTTGAATATGTCTCTGTCCATTAACCTGCAGCATATTCATCTTCCTCTCATATTCTTATGTGTATTAGTCAATTATTCAGCTTCTCTGCCCCTTTTCTTGTTTAACACCACCTGACTGTTGTCTGGAGTGACCCATTTCTTCTCCCTTCTCTCTTTATAACTTTAGTGGTCCCTTTCATATTGTCCCATTATAGTCATTTGCAGAAAATTCTTTTCCTGCTCGCTCAGTTTGTATCTGCACATTTTAAATATCATGCTCTAATCATTGGATCTTTGTGAGATCTAATGAGGTACCATTTTAAACAGCAATTTCCTCACTTTCTTTCGCAGTATGTGATTTTTATTTTATTTTTTTGCTTTCATGTAATTTCACTATCCATTTCCCAAGGGGTGGGTTTTTATAGGTTTGGCAGTAGAAAAAACAAACATAAACACTCCACTTTTCTGCTAGTGATGAGACAGGAGGCTGAAGCAAGGAGGCAGTTTGCTAAGCTAAACCTCTCTGGGGCTTTGATAATATACTAATTAGCAGAGTGATGAGGGACTTACAAAGTGCCCATTATTGCCTGTATGCTTTGCTCTTTTTGTGTCATGTCGTTTCAACTTGTTTCTCATGTCCGAATTTCAGTCAGATGCCGTCCTATAAAGTGAGCCTTGACACCCACTAGATACCTTGACACATGTGAGATCCCTAAAAGAAAGAAAGAAAGAAAGAAAGAAAGAAAGAAAGAAAGCAAATCAATCCACACACAGGTTGCAAAGTCAGTGAAAACAGACAGGGTCCCAGTGCTGGGTTTATGTATAGGTTAAGTAGGCTGAAGCCTAGGGCCTCTAAATCTAGGGGGCCTCGCCAGCCCGCCCGCTCCCCAGCGAGCAGTCTCCCCCTCCCAAAATTATTGGAAATAAGTTTTGTCACCTCTCTCCCCCCCAAACCCTGAGACAATGAGCCTTGCCAGCTTTTATTCACAGTCGCATAAGCACTACACTGCAGCATGGCCATCAACCTGTACGTTCAACCGCTGAAATATACACCCAATATGTATCAATGGAGGTTTATGTTACTGCTTTATGAATGAACATGGTGTTTTATGAATGGACTCTGTATTTTGTGAATTACCTAAGAGCCACCAATAGGGAGATCTAGAATCTGACAGCTAACCAATTGGGTACTACCAAACAGCGATTCCTATTGCTGAAAGCAGGTAACCAGCAGGGAATGCTTCAGCTCAGCCTTTGCACTGTTGACTGAACACCCCCTGCTGTGCAGATAATGGAGAAGGCTCATAAATTGTATCCCTTCTGGCGTCCTGGCTAACTCTATTACGCTGGTGTAAACCCTGGTGCACCAGGAGCCCAGAATAGCAGCAAATAAAATCTGCTCATACGTCCGCAACTGATAAGACTTGTCAACCAGTTTTTCCAAAGTCTTCCTAAAATATAAAGCTCTCTATTGGAGTCTCCAGGTCCAGTACAAAGACCATAAGAAGGGAGAGCAGGGACCTTGAAATTCCCAACAGCTGTTAAGCAAGCAAGCAAGCAAGCAAGCACACAGGTCACCTTTGTCACAGTCAGGACACCTATGCCCTGGCCAGGCCTGCACCCAATCTTGTTTTTGTACAATCTTGTTTGTCCTCAGTAACCAAAATTATATTATCAACATATACAAGCAGAAAAGTTGTTTTCCTTCATTTGCAAGGAATCATACAAAACAAAGTGGCACTAATAAAGAAAAGTTCCAGAGTGGCAACAGAAAGCAAACTGAAAATGCTTTTGCGGTTCATCAAAACTATCCAGCAATATCAAGTTATAGGAAAACTGGTGCTATTAACAGTAATCCTTCTAGTTGGTTAATTGGTTTGGTAACTTCCATGCACATGACGTGTGATGCTAATTATTTCCCCCAAGAGTTAAATGGTAACTAATCAGAGGCAGCTACAGTTGCAAATGGCAACAAAATATATGTGAAAGGAAGAGGAGCAGGTTTGCTCAGGTGTGTTGCAGGTAGAAATACTGTTTGTAATGAAGTGAGAGCAGTAGTTTACTTGCTCAAATTAACAAATAAGAAAGCGTTAAGAATTCAAATTCTAGATTAAAATTGATTACTTAATTGAGAAGGGGATTGTAACAAACACTGGGGCCTAATTTGAATAGTAGAGTGCCTGGTATCTGGTAGGCAGACCAGAGCACTCATCAGGAGAGCTATGAGATTCAGGTGAGGGTCAGATGCCTTGTCAATCCCAGCAGGTCTATAACAGGAAGACCTGCAGCTTGCCCACAGTTCATGATATACATATGTATTTGGATTCTTTTTTGGATTGTGACCTAAGCATAACACTCCCCCCCTAAAAAAAACCAACTAACCCCTTACAACCAGACTTCAACAGGGCAGTCTGTACATCACCTGTAAAATCTGTTGTCATGACTTGATGATCTTGGACATTTTAAGTAATATTTCCACCCTCTTGTCTCTTTATTTCTCCAGGGGGTATTTTTGAATGTGTGGAATCTGGCCCAACGGGAGCAATGGGAGCAGAAGAACTGGCCTTCAGATTTGCTGTGAACACAATCAATAGAAACAGAACTCTGTTGCCAAACACTACATTAACATACGATACTCAGAAGATAAATCTCTATGATAGTTTTGAAGCATCCAAAAAAGGTATGTTTCTAAGAGTTTTGGAGCAGGGATGGGGAACCTTTCTTTTTTCCCCAGTCCCAAAAGGCCTGTGAGCAACTTTCCGGGAGCTGCGCAGTGGATACCTGGTGAGCAAGGCCTGAAGCAAAAGTGGGTAGAGTATTGTAATACTCTACTCTGCACAGTAAGCTACATCCTGGCCATGCAAAAACAAGAGGTTTCTACGCACATACATACATATATACCCACCCTTGTCCAGTCAAGAAAGGGGCACCATCAAAGTTCAACAGCACATTTCAGCCCGGAAAAAAGCACTCAAAAATAGAGAGGAGGACCAGTGAGGGTTATGGTCTGGAGAGATGAGACATGGCTTGGTGGAGGGGCATGGTCTGGAGTGGGCCTGATAGAGAGGCCTAGAGAGCCACATTTAGCCACAAGGCCTGATTTCCCTCCTGCTTTTAGAGGTTAGCCACTGGGTGCTTGGTTTCCCCATTCATTGGTTACATCACAGAAGCCAAGCCCACCTTAGTATGCTTCTTAACTGCAGCTCTGTGCACTTCTCCTGTCATAGGTGCCATGGGGGTGTGAGGCCCCCTCAAATTTCCTAGGAGGGGGCTAGTGCCTCCCAAATTCTGTGGTGGCTGTGCACACACCCCGTGGTGTGCGCACATGGTGTGCTTACATTGTTCTTATGTTGTGCAGCCCTGGCCCCCACACGCTTGTCTCTTATAAAAATTCATGGCTGGCACTGATCTCTATAGCAGTGGTGAGGCAAAAGCCAAGAGTATAGACATCTGTTAGGGAGAGTCCCATGCTGGGCTCCTCCTGGCCTGCATACACATACAACAAAGTAGAGCAAGGTACATTATCAATGACTGAAAGCCATGCCAATGAAAATAATTATTTCTTCCATCTTCACAGCAATCTTGATTGCCTTTGATGCCGTTTGTTGAGGAATGGGGACCTGAGGCAGGAAGACATTGACTTTTTTGACTTGAAGGGGTTGTTGCCCCAGGTCTCCTTGGCACAATTCTCACACTTTGTCCACTCTCATAAGTGTAGTTTGCATGGCTTCAAAACAGTACATCTTTGCCAGGCATTTCTATAAGATGGAAGAAGTTAGAAAGGAAAGGTGGATAGTTCAGATACCACGGTGCCTTTATTGTGACAGAAGTCTTAACAACCATATTGATGTTTTCAGCTGGGGCAGTAGCTCATGCTTAGTGACCAGGCAAACGTTCGTATCAAAAGTATTGTTATTTTAGACCTCAACCCAGTTAAATCACTCCACATACTTTGATTTCAGCTGGTATAGTGCTGTTGCAATAAGTTTTAATTTGGCTGTATATCAGACTGCCCATCAGCTGGATGCCTGGAATGGAGTACAGATGGGAAATTAATTAGATTTTAAAAGCACCATACCGATGAAAAATCCCTGGGCAAGAGCAGAATTTGCTGAAGATGTCATTTGAACTAAGAATGCTGGAAATGCAATCAAAATTCTTGTTAATACTTTTTTTAAGATCACACTGTTAGCTTAGAATAGAATCATTGTAAGCCACATGCAGAAGAAATGTGCCTTTCATGGGGTTTCTTTAAAAGTCTACTGGGAGGGAACAATTTGCCAGCTATCACTGCTTGCTACAGGTTCCATCTCGTAGCATTTTATTACAGGTACAAAAGGTAGATGCATTAGTGAACAATACACTTCAAAAAAAGTTCATGCTTAGTAGTTACAACAGTGCGTGCCCATGCTTAGAAGCGGCAAACTTCATGGGGAAATTTGCATCCCATTGAAATCTGTGACAGACTTCCCACTGGTTTCTAATGGACCCAGATTGGATTGCATCCAATGACTTTTACAGTGCCTTATACTCAAACATCATAGAAGGATGTTCTGTATTGCACAGCATGAACTGCATAGAAAAGAGCACCGCACGCCTTATTTTTACTGTTTTGTATTGTATTGTTTACTTCAAATCCTTTCTACTATTACTGAAAGAGGCTAACCCTACTACAGCATTTCAATGCTAAATTAATTTCAAAACAAAACAAAACTACCAGCCTTCTCCCTTTCACCAAAGACAGAATTATTATTTCTCTAGGAAGAAGCTCTATCTGGATATTTCTTCTAGATTATGGATATCATGTAGTTAGCAAGGAATTTAGGAGCAAATGTAGCATAAAGATACCCTCACTGAACTTGATTCTCCTTATCCAGAAAAGATGGACACATTAAAATGTGCAAAGAGCACATCAATAAAATGATCCCTCTGCAGCAATATTCAATGGCTTCAAATGTAGCCACAGTGATGGTGGATTCTCCTCCACAAGGTGAAAAGGAAATAATTGAAGCCAGATAGCAAATTCCTTAGCAATCCAAGGTGGACTCTTCTACCGCATCACTTTTCTCTTTGTGTGATACCTAGTGCAGGTTGAGATGCACTGAGCATTTGTAGCTTACATATCGTATTAACAAATACAGACAATAAATGCACAGAATGAGGAGTTGTGCTAATTGCAGTACCAGGGCATTGTCAAAAGCCCTGATTTTACATGTCAGGGAAATTATGCTCCAGGCAGATAAGCTTGTGCAAATGTTTAGAACTGGGTGGTGCTGGTTAGTCTTTATGGATGCGCAGGTGACTAGGTAAGACAATGCAAACAGCAGTTTGTGAACATGATGCCCCAAGGCTAAGGGTTAGCTAATAACAAGCTTGAGTGTTAGAAAGCTAATGTTGAAGCAAAGACGAGAGTTTGCAGTGTGGATCCTATAGTCCACAAAACTGATCATGCAAACATTCAAAGCCAATGGAACCAAAAATGCCAAAATCCGAGTAGATGTGCTGGCAAGGACACTAGATAGCCTCTAAGCTCCATGGACATCTGTTTTGATTGTAGTAGAATCCCTGCCTCCTTTTTAAGCCTCCCAGAGTGCCACAACAACAGGTGAACAGAGATCTGTTGACACTGACAGATCACAATGTGCACATCTCTAACTTAATACTTAAGCACATATTCTCAAAATGTAGTTATTTTGTACTTTGCCTGTAGAGAGAGACTTGCATCAACAGCAAGCCTGCTTGAGCAGATGACTGCCTGAAAAAACTATCACTGTGTGTGTTATTCTCTGCACACTGTTAATCATACTTTCCTTTCCTTTCAGCTTGTGATCAGCTCTCTCTTGGAGTAGCAGCTATCTTTGGACCTTCACATAGCTCTTCGGCTAATGCAGTGCAATCTATCTGCAACGCTTTAGGGGTTCCACATATACAGACGCGCTGGAAGCATCAGGTTTCAGACAACAAAGACTCATTCTATGTCAGTCTTTATCCAGATTTCTCTTCACTCAGCCGCGCCATCCTTGACCTTGTGCAGTTCTTCAAGTGGAAAACTGTCACGGTTGTTTATGATGACAGCACAGGTAGGTATCACTGTAGGACATTATGTAGCTGTATTTGAGGGCATGCATAATGCGTCATGTTCCTCTAAACAAGCAAATAAGATGTGATTGTGAGATTTTGTTGCGGACAATAGAAAATAAAATGCACAGATTCATCCTACCTACAACTCCTTCATTATGCATAACTTTTTCTATATATTTGATTCATAATGACATGAAAAAGGGAGAGAAGGATTTTAGATCACCGCATTAAAAGCTAGAGGTTTATCTGATTATTTGTCTAGGCATCTCAAGTCAAGGAAAACATCTGAAAATTTCATGAGGACAATCTCTTTTTTCCTGTTCTAGCTAGAAAACAGACCAGGAAAGATTGTCTGTTTTATGTATGGGTGTCTTTATTAAACAGAGGACTCTGTGACCCTTGCCGTTTACATTTTGTAGAAAGATTTGCAATTGTAAACCTGCAATTTGTTTTCATAAAGACTGCAAGCAAACCAGAGGTGTTCATCTGTAACATTTGGGGGGAAAACAAACCCAAAAGGGTGCAGGTTTTTGCATATACATCAGGAGCTCCTGTGTTAAGAAGCATTGACTACAAAGTTGGGATCAGCTCTGTGTGCTGAATGTATATGTGCAGTTGTCCCTGTCCTTATTGAAGTTTGCTAAGAAACTTCATATGCAAAGGGAGTTTTGAACACTATACATCTTTCAGGGTTCACTGAGATGGGCAGTTGGTGGGGAGGGTCAGTTCCACACACCTGGCCTCCCAGCAGCAGTGTCACTCCAGCTTACTGGAAGGAAGAGGGGTGAAGCAGTGGGGAGGCTGGCACTGTTTGGGTGCACCAGTAGGAGTGCTGGATTAGCTCTACCAGTGCATTCACACTGTTCTGGCCTCTCCTCCCTCCTTCTCTCCAGGTAAGTGACAGTGATGCTGTTGCCAGGAGGCCTGGTGTTCAGCAATGCCCTCCCTGTTGGGTGCTCCTGCACCAAGTTATATCTGGTGATGTAAATATGAGTACATAAGTCTTATTTTATTTTGGTTAGGTGTGTTTGTTTCTCCAGATTTGTAGAGTTCTAGCCACAGAAAAATGGGAAGTGCTGTGGTTCAGAGGTAAAGCACATTCTTATTGTGATTCCCCTACCAAGTGCAGTGAATGGTGGACTTCCGGGGTGGCGCCATCGGCAATGGCGGACTCCCTCTGATCTGGAGGGACTAGCTCAGCGCGAAACGGGTCTTTTCCGCTGCGGCGAAGCGGGGACCCTTTCAAAAATCACAGGCAGATGAAGCCTGTGACCATGGGACTCGGCGGGCACCCTTAGCGCCCCCCCAACCCGCAAAGGAACCCACTAACGGGCTCCGAAGCGAAGAGGGGGAAGTGGCGCGGTGCTGAGAGTCAACTGCTATTTCCGTGGAGCGAAGCCGCATAGCTGTTGCCGGAGAGCGCTGCCTTTTTCCTGGGACAATTTGGCTTCTAAAATAATCACCCGTGAGTACTTAAATTTCGGACAATTGGACTTTAAATAAGGACTGGCGAGCAGAAAGGAATTGGACTTAAAAATTTACTTCAATTTGGCACTGAAACGGGAAGGTCTAAACAGGAAGTCAGCCTTCCGTTTCTTTGTAGACAGAATAAAGCAAAGACAACGTAAACTAGAGCTCAGAAAATAGCTTCTAAAAGATTAACTTTCATCATTTTAAAATTGTTGAACCCCTTCGGAAGCAGGAGAAGAAGGGGGATCTTTTCGGACTGTTTAAACCTGCAGAAGTGAGTTTAAAGTAAAGTAACTTTCCACCGTCCTGATCCTGGAGCAGGGTGTCAGGACTGACGTTTGAAGCTCATTGACCAGAGACAAACGTTTTTTGACAGATAGCTAAAAGAAGAGAAACATAGTGATTCCACTGTTCCCTTTCACATTTTAAAGGAACAAATATTGACAAAATATCTCAAAAAGGAAACTTTGTTGCTAGATTTGTACTCAAAAGAAAGAACAAATAGAAGTTTTCCCCCTAGAGGGAGACTGTGAAACTGTAACTAATTCCAGGGAGCTTGCAGCTGTTACAGATTACAATCGTGGGAATAGTCTTGTGACCTTGAGGGCCAATGTATTCAGAAGCTCTGTGGTGTGCTCTCTGTAAAACAAATGCCCTACTGGAACAGTTAAATGAGAAGACGGATTTGATGACTAATGCGGTCAGAATTTTTGAACAGGCAGTGGGAAACTATATGGAGCCCACCCAGGAATCAAATCAGGAGTGTGCCCTGACAGAACAGATGAGAGAAGAGGATGTTGCTGAATTTTGGGCGCCAGAGATGGAGGGAGCTGTGGCCCTGCAGGAACATGAGCTTTTGGACTTGACAAATGAACTTGGAAAAAGCCAGATTTGGAAAGATAAAGTTTGGACTGGTTTGGAAATGGGGGGTTGGATAGACCCCCCTATGCAGGGATGTTTGGACTTTCCAAGTCTGGCAATGGGCCGTGAGATGTTTGGGGCTGTGGGGGCCCTTAATTTTGGAGGGATTCTGAAACATGTTTTCAAATACCACATGGAGTTTAGTCTGGTCTTTGGAAAAGGGGCTGATTTGTTGAAAAGGGTCAAAAACATTACCAAGCTGGAGTTCCCACGAGTGAAAGGAGAATATGAAGAAGAGCCGCGGAAGGGACATGGAAGAGACTTAAGGGCCTCGGATATAAGGTTACCAGGTTAATGCGCTAGATCAATGGGATAAAAAGGACTGACAAAACCCGGGACCAGGAGGAAAGGACGCTGGATGAAGATTGGATTGTTTTTATTTCTTTTTATTATTATTAGGATTGTTTTATAAAATTGATGAATGTTAGAAAAATGTTGGAACGAAATTACTTGGCTCTAGCAAAAATGTTTAAAGAATTAGGTAATAATATTATGGTTATGAGAAGTTGGTAAAAATAAGATTTAAGTTTTAAGTTTTAAGGTTTTCTATAAGATAAGATAAGATGAAAATAGATTAAGGTAATGTAATGACAGAATATTATGAAATATGGAAAGGATTTGCTGCGATAATTAATAACTAGGATACAAAAAAAGGGAGGAGGAGGAGGTCAAAGAAAGAAGGTAATGAAAGTTGAGGATTCGAGAATGATGGATTTGTTTTTATCTGTTTGTGGTGTATTTTTGTTTTTTGAATCTGCATTGTTTGATGTGGTTTGTTTTCTCTTTGTTTTCTCTTTTTTCTTTTTCTGCTGTGTTTTTTTCTGTAATTTAAAAAAATTTCAATAAATATCATTTTTTAAAAAAAAACAAGTGCAGTGAATGGCTACTAGATGGAGGATCTTTCCAGCAGTGGCACCCTGGCTGGAGAATGCTCTCCCCAGAGAGTCTCACCTGATGCCTACCTTGCTAACCTTTTCTCAGCAAGTAAAAACATCATCATCATCATCATCATCATCATTATCCTAGGCTTTTGGTTTACTTCATTCTTAAGGTTCTCTAATGAGTTACAGACTCTTTGGATACTTCTGGAGTTTAAAGACGTGTGAAACGTTAGTGCTGCTGTGAGCTTAGTTTTATAGTTATCTTCTGTTTTTGATTAAAGGTGCATTAGATTTTACGGTTTCATTTCTGTAAACAGTTGTCTTTAAATCTTATTGTAAGCCTTCCAGAGATTTTTAGTTAGTGGGGGTCATGTATAAATACTGTAAGTAAAGAAAATAATGTTTTACAGGCAGAAAGTTAAACCACTGGCATCTTCATGTAGGGTTGAGAAATACTCCTGCAAAAAAATCTCGAAAGTTGCTGCCAGGCAGTGTAAACAGAACCAAGTCCAAAGTCCTGACTCAACAGAAAGCAGCTTCCTGTCTTCCATACAGCACACTATTCATTTGCTCCTCTGAAGGCAATTTTCCTGTTGCAAGGGGGGAAAGGGTAATATATTATTAAGGATAAGCATTGAAATTAAATATATGCTTCTGATCACTGCATGTCTTTAAAATCTGTGATGTCAGTTTAAATACATACGGTTGCACACCTAACCCCACTTATCTGGGATTAAGCCCCACTGATTTTAATTAGAGCATGCATGGTTAGGATTGCAGCCTTACACCAATACAAAATAACAATATTCACGTGAAAAATAAAATTGGACTAAATTTAAACAGAGGATTCTATTTTGATTTAGATATTAATTATATTATAAGGAACCATGATAGTTTCTGATCACCTAGCCTATATCCATGTACTGCTTGGTTTTTCAAAGCTTGTCCAAAAGATAAAAATACATCTCCCCCCGCTCCAGTAAAGACATCCCCACCCAGGGAATCACTTTTTTTGGTATTGAGTTCATGCTCATAACACTACAACTCACTGAAACCCAGTGAAGCTGAATGTTGGGAGATTCAGGACAGGCGAAAGAAAGTACTTCTCCACACAGCACATAATTAAACTGTGGCATTTGCTCCCACAAGAGGCAGGGATGGCTATCACCTTTGATGGCTTGGGAAGAGGATTAGACAAATTCATGGCGCATAAGACCATCAGTGGCTACTGGTCATGACAGCTATACTCTGCCTCTGCTTCTGAATACCACTTGCTGGAAACTGCAAGAAGGGAGAGTGTTGTTATGCTGAGGGTCTGCTCTGCTGATTCCCATAGACATCTGGTTGGCCACTGTGAGAACAGGGTGCTGGACTTGATGGTCCACTTGTTTGATGCAGCAGGCTCTTCTTACGTTCTTACATTCATATATATCTCTATCTATCTATCTATCTATCTATCTATCTATCTATCATCTATCATCTATCTCTATCTATATCTATATCATCTATCTATCTATCTATCTATCTATCTATCTATCTATCATCATCTCTCTCTCTCTCTCTCTCTCTCTCTCTCTCTCTCTCTATGGGCCCCAGTCAGGCAGACAGTCGCTGCACAATATAATTGCTGCACAAGACATCCTGGGCCCCCCACATATTGCTGTTGTAAATCATAGTTTTGGCATGTGGTGCAAAACACTCCTAACAAAGAGCTTCTGTGGTGTCCGTGCTTTGCATCACACCTTCAGTATTTTGTTTGTTTGTTTGGGTGGGGTGGGGTGAGGGCCTCCACTTAGACTCATAGAATTGTAGACTTGGAAGGGACCCAGAGGATCATCTTGTTCAAACCCCTGCAATGGAGGAATATGCAGCTTTTCCATATGGGAATTGAACCTGCAACCTTGGGCGTTGTTGGCACCATGCTCTAACCAACTGAGCTATTGCTCCATCTGAGGTATGTCCAATTTGGTGCATCTATGGAAGAATGATTGACCTGAATCTGTTCACTTTTTCTCTCTATGACATCCTAAAGTCTAGATGAAACGTATTGAGCTTGGGGCCACTAGCAATGTCATGGGGGAGACTGGGAAAGCTGTGGAACATTTGACCACTGTTTCCCCTAGCAATAAGTCAGTAAATTATGATGTGCTTCCAAGCCTCATAGGTGCATATGTAAAAGAGCTCCCCAGAATTCACAAACCTAAGTGGAAGGATATTTAACAGCAGGGAGATCCTAGGTGATTTTCATCTAGCCAAACCCTGGCATTCAAATCTTTAGGGTGGCATGCCATTGGTGCCCTTATATTTATGATGTTTGCACTTATAGGTGTATTAATACAGTGGGCGCCTCTCCTAGTGAAGAAGGGAGATGTTAATCAGCTGCAGAGAGCTGCAGGGCTCTCCAGAACAGAGGGGAAGGTGTCATGTGAGGCTGCAGGGGAAAGTGGCAACAATGGAATCTCTTCCATTGGAGGAGGACTCCACTGGATCAAACACCTTTCCATGAATGCAGGAAAACTAATTAGACTACACCCTTTGAAAAGTGTGCATCCCTTTGGCAAAATCTCCACTTCTTCAATCTGTTAACACAATTTACAGGCCGCATGTTGTATTAAAAGTCATATTATAAATGCTTTATAGGAAGCCATTCATAATAAACTATTTATGGTGGTTGTAAGCATGGCACAGTCCTGGGCAGTTACAGAGTGCTGTGTACTTTAAGGGTGAACCATAAATAATTAATAATAATAACAATAAATATCTGATTTACAGGCCACTTGTTTCAAGCACTGAACAAGAACCTGTTAAGGGAGTGATAAACTATAGTTATAACAAAAAGGGATTTTATCTGTTGTACTTCATAACTATCTATTTCATTTTTAATGAGCATGCTGCAGATACATTGTTTATCAATTGCCTGAAAATGAAACCTTAATATCAAGGGGAACTCACTTTCCCTGTGATGTTCTTTATCATGGCAGAGCACATATCTCAGGACCATTGGCTTTGCAGCAAGGAAGGCCTGGGGCCTTAGTCATCTGCAGTTCTGCAGGGTTTGTTTGTCTGTGTTCCAGCAGTGGGAAGGTCTGAAAGGGGCATCAAAGCATGTTCGGCCTTCCTACTTTCTTGTTCAGTGTGAGAAGATTGGTGGAGCACACACGACCAGCACATGCAGGACTGTTGGGGCAGGATTGGCACAAGGGGTGCCAAGTTGAATACAATATTGGGGGGCCAGGTAAGCCCCACCCCACATAATACATCACAAGTTGGACACACACACACCATTTGAATGGCAATGCCCATCAACTGAAGGGGAGGCCTCAACTATTTTATGAGGGGGCAAAGGGACCTCGGCCCCTAGGAGTTGGCTCCTATGATTGGCACACACACTGCTTCATTCCCTCAGCAGTTGGTGCCACAGTTCATGCATATTTGGCTCAACAACTGAAGAGGATTTCAGTCTGCGGCAAACTTTGCATTTTGCTCCAAATCTCAGCATTGCTGTAGCTATGGAAATATATTTCTCTCTCTCTGAGAATTCTAAGCAAGCATCCATTGATTTGTGCTAGTGATGTACTATACCATCCCTGATGTGCACCTGCAAAATACCCACACATTTTAATTAAGCCTGCCTCTTTTATGTCAGGTAAAGCAAATGGCAAAGCTTGATCTCTTGTATTCCTCCCGAGGTCTAAAAAGACGAAATCCAGCTTTCCCCCTGGATTTCTCAAAAATCCCGTTACAAGAGCTAATCTTCTCTAAGCTGAAAGGAGGAGATCAGTCCTGTTCTAAAGAGTACTTTGTAGACAGTAAAGTTTTGAAGCAGGATTTCAAGTTGAAGCCTCTGTGGGGTAACAAGAAACCTGTTATCTTCACTCCTGATTTGCATAAGCCATTACTTGGTAGTACCTTTTGGTTACATAGTTCAGTGACATCTAATGACATATGCAAATGTGTTGCTATAAGTTGAAAGGGGTATTTTCTTCCTCTATTTTGCCAATTAGCATTTGCTGAGGTTGTAGGTGAAAGATTTAAGCATCCGAGAAAGAGCCTGTTTGTGCCTCTGAGTGAAAGCCAAAGGTGGAAAGAAATGATTCCAGAAATGAAGTGCTTTTAAGGTTATGCGCTGGAATAAAACTCCTCCCCCCACAAAAAATATCAGTTATGCTTCAGAGCCTCCCCTTTTAAAGTTTTCTTTGTCTCTCCCTCCTCTTACATAATTAAACAACATCAAAATAAACAAGGGTCATGAGTAGGATGGAAATGTACATTGATCAATGAAGGGAACTATTCAGTGCAATTCTATATATCCCAGTCAGTTCAGTGGAACGTCCTTCTATTTACCTAGAAGTTGAAGTCATTGAACTCCATAGTATTTCTGCAAATATGTATAGCATTTCACTGTTAGCTATCTAAACATCAATTACTTCTTAATTATGCACCCTTTCTCCACTTATAAGCCAATGTTTTGTAGCTGTGAGGGCCAGTTTACAAAATACCAGTAACCAAAATCCAATGTATGTACTTGCTTGGAGGAAGGTGACTTCTCAATTAGGAGGTCACCATTTATATTGAAATTATTGAAATTGCTGTTGGATATGTGCAGAATCTGCTGTTTTACACTCTCCTTTGGCTCTTGAAAGTGTACCTGGGAAAAGTCAGGATGGCTTGAATGAAAAAATGCAGTGTGAGCTGCCCCTTGGTATGTGTGTTTAAACACAGTTGTATTGAAGTAAGTTCTACTCTTAGCAGATCCACTTACGGTAAATTAACACACTAATGCTACACATGCCATTTAATTTCCCCCCTCCCTGACATAGCATTGCTTTCATGTAGATTATTCTCTTGTCATCCTATAATGTGAGCCATGTGAGATGGAAACATTTACATGGGTATTTTGCTATCTTAGTAGCAGTAGCTTTGTGGAAAATAATTGCACATGCCCTGTGGTGGTTCCTGTTACCATACATCAGTAATCTGATTCTTATTATTTTGAATGGACAAGCAAGTACTACAGCTTTTACTACACTTAAATGCATCTGAATTAAATCTTGCAGGCGAAAAGTACAAAAATTCAAGGTGCATGGAACTTTTGATAACCAAGAAGCCAATCCACAGGACTCTTTAACCTCTAAGTTAACCTCAATCCACAGGACTCTTTAACCTATGGATTTACTTGGTTGGCCCAGCAATTATAGTGCAGCTTTCAGGAAAATAGTAACTTGTAGCCTTCCCTCATCATGGAGCTTCTTTCATAAGATCACTACGTTCAAAATTGATGGAGAAACATATTTCACAATTACTGTTGCATCTTGAATCAGCCCAGGGGCAGTCTAGTTAGAAAGACATGAATTACAATAATAATAACTCAATACGGCAGAAAGCATCTCTTATGAATCTACAGATGGTATTGGCAAAAAGCAATTTATGCTGGTAGAAGCCTAAATATAAATGTTAACGGTGTTTTTTTGTTATTTAAAAAAAGGTGTGTGTATGTGTATGACATTTTCATTTCACAAAGAACTCAGACCTTTACCTCTCCCAAATGACTTTGGCATTCAACCGAAGGCACTGTAAAACACACTATTAGTAAATAACACTTTCCAATCCGTTTTGTAGGGTGTGAGGATATTGATTCTGGGTGGTATCATGTAGCTTTGTACCCTCTCAGTACAGAATATTTTAAGTGACCTATGCAATAATGCCAAGGGCAAACACAATTAGTAATTATGTGCTAGAGCTAATTACTGCATGGTGCCTTCCTTTTAATGGAAAGCTATTGTTTTATTAGTTCAGTATTGTTTAACTGTATTTGTTTCTCAGTGTTAAAAAGCAGAGAAAATTTATATTTTAATTATTGTTTTGATGGCTTTAGCGTCTCTGCATTAAGAATCTGTCATGACTGTGAACATTAATTTGACTTACATTTAAATATTCTGCTTTTTTATCCCCATAAATCATGTGAAGTTCATTGAGACTCTTATGGAAGGAGAAGCCTGGCTGATTGTTCTGAAAGTAAAGAATAAGAAGCTCATGCAGCTGAATAGTGTCAGGAATTGCCTGTGTCAGGAATTGCCTGTGTCAGGAATTGCCTTTTAAAGTGAGATCATGGAAAGGGTGTATTGTTCTGGTTCTGACTGTTGAAGTATAGCATATTTTGTTTCCCCTAAAAATATTATATGGGACTCCATGAAGCCAGAGACACTGATTTGACATCAAAAGTCTTTAGCTGGAATATTGTGAGGGGGCGGGGGGATGATGCTCAGCCGGATAATGTAAAGGAAAAAGATCATATGCAACTTAAATAGGGCACTATATTACTGTTCAAATGTGTGTGTATCTTTAATGTCACACATTTCTCTATGTCAGTCTAGCTAGTATAACCCAACAGTTAATCTCTTGTAAGGGCAATTGAGACTCACAGGTGAAATCAAGGCACAAAAGGCAAGGTCAGATCAAACAAGTAAAGTTCAGTTAAAAGTCAACAAGATCAAGTCACAGCAGGCAAGTGCTGATCAAGACAGGGAAAGTCCATTCAGAGTTTCTTTTAGGCAGAGGTCAAAGAAAAGCAGGAACTGGGATAGCTCCATTGAGTGATGCTGTGTCCTGCTTTCATAGCTGTAGAAATACATTGTCTGCAGGAAATACATTGTCTGCTTCTGCAGGAAGCAGAATCCTTTCATAGGCTGACAGGGTGTGTCTTATGGTTGACTCTACCTCCCTAGAGGAGCTGGCTAAGTAGTTAAAGGGAGCTCATCTGATTGTTGACCTCTATCAGGCTTGGGAGATGAAGATACTGCAGAGGACTCAACCTCTGAGCTGGTGGATGACTGCAGCAATGTTGTCCTTACTCAGGATGGCTATTACCAAAGTCCGCCCCTAGGGAAAGGAAGCCCACCACCACTTGGGGTAATGGGGTCCTTGCTAGCAGGGAGGGGAGTATTTTCCCACCCCATTCTACCCACTTGCCTCTGGAAGCACTGTTCACCACCTGTATTTTAGGACTGTTCCAAACTAAAGACAAAGCCCACCAAACTATATTATAGTATATATTTTGGAAAGCGGTTTGTCCGTTTGTTTTCTAGATGCTCACGTGCCTAATAATCATCATAATAATGGTAATAATTTTATTATCTACACCCCTTGTATCTGACTGGGTTGCCTCAGCCTCTCAAGATATCATTGCTTTTTTTTTTTTTTTTTTTAAATATTTTATTAAGGATTTTCTTGTTTTACAGAAGTGTAGTGCCTCGTATTTTTTTTTCCCATGTAACATTTTTACAAATCCGTTTCATTTGTTGAGGCATTGGGGGAGAAGAAAAAAAAAGAAAATAGAAAAAGGGGGGGGTGGAGAGAGGGAAGATGGATGGGGGTGGGGTCGGGTGGCGGTGTTTCTATTATGTTTAATGTATGTAGAGTTTGGTGTCAGCGTTGCTTGTGTTGTTCACTTGTGTTCCTTTGGTGGTGAGAGAGGTTGGGGTTGGCCTAGGGTGTGATTGTTTGCTTGTGATTGGCTGTGGTGATCTTTGTTTTCGTGTGTGAGTGAGGTGGGTGGGTGTTTTGGATCAGGTTAGCCATATTGATTTGTATGCTGTTGGTGGATTATTGTCATTGTCCTGTTGGGCTGTGTATGTGATAAATGGGAGCCATACCGGGGTGAAGGCGTCTTCTTCTGTTTGTCCCCGTGTCAGTTTCAGTTTATTAGTTAATTTTTCTAGTAGGGCTGTTTCCCATACTATTTGGTACCATTGGTCCATGCTTACTCCTGACAGGTCTCTCCAGTGTCTGGTTATGGTGTTTCTGGCTGCTGAGAGCAGGTGGGTTATGAGTTCTTTGTGGTGTAAATGGGCATTGTTGTCTTGGAAGATGTTTAGTAGGGCCAATTCTGGGGTGATGTCTATTACTTGCTTAGTTATTTTACATATTTCTTGTATGGCTGTTGTCCAGAATAGTTGGATTTTGGGACACTCCCACCACATGTGGAGGTATGTGCCTGTGGAGGTGCACCCTCTCCAGCATTTTGGTGAGGTTCCTGGGTGTATTAGCGCTAGTTTCCTTGGTGTTAGGTACCACCTGTAGGTGAGTTTCAGTGTGAGTTCTTTTCTTTTCGTTGATATGGATTTAAAGGGGGTTTAGACCACATTCTGGTCCATTGAGTGGGGTTAATCTCATAACCTATGTCATTCTCCCATTGTTTTTTGATTGCGTCTAGGGATTTACAGGATTTTGGAGTAGTATTTTGTATATTGCGGATACCGTCCCTTTACCGTTTCCCTTTGTTGTTAGGAGGAGGTTTTCGAAGGTTGTCAGGGGCCTAGTTGCTGCTGATTTTACTGTTGGGTTGTTTAAGAGGGCATGAAGTTGGTGTTGTGTTAACCAGGGCATTTGGGTGTCTTCTAGTTTGTCTTGTATTTCTTGTGTTGACAAGGGTTTGTTATTTTTATAAAAGTCTATTAGGCGATATAAGCCTTTGGTTCGCCAGGTTTTTATCTTGAGGTTTTGTGCTGCACGGTGGAATAATGGGTGGTACGCCAGAGGATGAGTGGGGATGGGGTTGGGGATAGTTTGCCTATTTGTGTTTTCCATGCTTTGAGCATGGTCTGTGTGTACCTGTTAAGTGTTGTGGGAATTTTCTTTAGTTTGTTTGGGAGGAGTGGGTATGTTGTGGTGCAGGTGTTTTCAATTGTGTCCCTCTCTAGGTGTACCCATTGTTTTGTCTCATCTTCTAGTATATATGGGATTATGTGGCGTATTTGGTTGGCATTGTAATATGCTTCTATGTTGGGGATTCCCCATCCTCCTTCTGAGGTGGGGAGGTTCAAGATATCATTGCTAAACCTGGTATGAGGGTTCCTGAGATGAGGGTGGGCGTTCTTCATTGACATTCAGGTGCCAGGTGCCATTTTGATTGAAGATGGTGGACTGAAACATCACTTTGATGTGTCTGAGCCTGTTTCTTGACATAGTTTGGGCTGCCTCTTGAGATAGCGTCACCAAATTATACTACCCATTTAAAAACAACAATATATTTTTGATTTCTAACAATTCCCAGGCAGTGCCCGGAACTCCCCACTAGTATTAAACAAATCAAATAATAGGTTGCAAATTAATTAAATATGTTCAGTATGCTGTCACACAGTCCACATTCCAGCTTTTGGTTTTTATCATTCATTTAGAGAATATGCAATATTCATTTAACTGGGACTATAAATTTAATGTGCAGGTTTGCTGAGACTGAATTATTTCATGTGCTTCCTCCCTCTTTTTTAATACATAAACTCTGGAAACAGAGATCTCGGGAGATTTTATTTCTTGCAGTCACAGTAACAGATGACTTTGGCCTCTCTCCCTCTCGCGCGCCCCCTCCTCGTGCAGTCAGCTGTTCTGCACATGGATGCCAACCACTCTGAAGATCACTGTTTCCCCTCCATCAACTTCTGTGCCTGAAAACGTTCTCATTGGGATTCTGCACCACTTTTTGCTGCATAGTGATAAATCCTCATCCTCAACATTTGGCAGTTTAGGGAACAGTTTTCACAACATACATTTGGTTAACAGCCCTCATATATTTTACTGTCAAGACCGATTTTGCTATAGCATCTCCACAGGCACATGCTCAGTCAGTTTATACATAAAATAATGGATTAGGAGGGGGGCATGTTAAGCCATCAGTCCAGTTAAGTAATCATCCAACATATGCATGTAATGTTGCCTGTTTAATGTCCCATTCTTATCGAAAGAAGGAATGAAGGTCTGATTTTAACACTGAAAGGGGTGCATAGTGAAGAGAACAGATTCTCCTCTCTACAGTGTCTTACCTAACCACAGGTATCCTCAAGCACTTATCCCCTCAGCCGAACTTTAATACTAGAAATAATTTGGCCTGGCTGGAAACCATCTAAGGGAAAGTACAGTAGAGATGTGAACCATAGACAATGGGAAGGTTTTGCAACTTGCATACCCCTTTTGCAATTTCAAATCAGATCCCCTCTTCCTTCTTTATACATTGCTAGGGCAGCTCTGTTTTTCAACACAGAGCACTCCTGTCATCACGTATAGAATTGCTTTGCATTACAATATGCTCTCTGTTATTGAGAATACATGATTGTTGACTCTGCTGCTGATATTTCTTCTGCTTTGTTCCATTCATCCTGCTCCTTTCAATGTGGTATTCCATTTTCTTCTGCTCCCTTGTAATCTTTCACCTTGTTGTATTATTTGTTGCCCCCAATACAGTTATTCCCAGACGAGATATCTGATGAATTGGCTTTCGTCTTGTGTATGTTTGCTGCTAGGCATGATATTAAGCGCAACATTTCTGTGTTGTAGGCTGCATTTTTATAGCTTCACTCTGTTCTTCATGGGAGTTATGTGACTATCAATAACCTTGTATGAATTATATATTATATTATATTTGTAACCCACTTTCCTGCTGCCACAAAAAGTAGCATTCCAAAAAAGAGCAAACTCCAAACACAGATCAAATATAATAAAAAGCAATCATAATGACAGAACTTGACTGAGAAAAGCACAAGCTCTCTACCTATCTACACACCCTACTGCCACCCCCAGGTCTCCAAAGCAAAATAATTTTAATATTTCCAGAAGGCTGGGAGAATAATGACCAAGTGTGCCTGCTATACAAAAGAATTCCAAAGCCTGTGTAAGTGCAAGGGATGAAAAGGCCTGCCTCACATTTAAAGTTGGGGTGGGGTGATCTGTATGAACAACTGCTCATTCATAAGAGGACACCACAGCTAATACTTCCAGAATGAAAGGCCCAAATCTCCCCATTGCTGTTCTCTGGAAACCAGACAGCTGAGATCCCTCTTGCCAAGTATAAATAGTAAAACAGAAGCTTTGTGTGCAAAGGTCCCTTGTTTAGTTCCCAGCACGTCCAGGTAGAGCTAGGAGATATGAACAGTCTTACCTGGATATGGACATTAGCTGAGCATTCACTGTGTATTATATGGAGAACTTGCAACTCTCGTCATGTCTTGGTGTACTTTGCTTTAGCTGTTGCTGAGGTTGTTTTTGGAGAAATTCTTCTTCCAATTTATGCATGTGCAGCAATAGCAGCAGCAGCCTTCCAGCTGGCCGGCTTCACACCCTGGATGTGCTTGCCTGCCTGGAACATCCTTGAACTCTTACATGTCTGGATGGAGAACAGGGAGGGCTGCATGAGTGTCTGTAGAAATTAGCCTATCCTACAAAGGTAAAATTTGCAATCATTGCTCTGCTCATTCCACTTCTGCCCCACCATGCACTGGTGTGTGGTCTTTGGATGATTTCCCAGAACAGAATGCAGCCCTCAGGGTGGAAAATGTTCCCCATCCATGCTGGGGAGCTTTGGCCAATCACTATAGACAGAACTGAGGTAAATGGACCAATGGCTTGACTCTCTTGCTATGTTCTTCTGCTCTCTGCCAACTCTGTTCTTCCCTATCTTCTGTGTCACCGTCTTTCTCTGCTTCTTTCTTGTCTAAGTTTCAACTTTAAAACACATTAGATAACTTCCCACAGCCTTGAATTAATTATGTTAGATGCTCCCCAAGAGGCTTTTTTTTTTTTTTTTTAAAAAAAAGAACCTCTTGCAGTCTTTTTACAAATGGAAGATGATAGTCAAATAAAGTCTATGGAGACTTCTCTAAGATTCAACTGATAGTTAATATATGGTAGTCAAGATCTGTGAACATATGGTAGCTAAGATTTAAGAGCGTTTTGTGTATTGCTTTCTAATGACAGTCCAGAAAAGATAATATCTGCTGGCTGATATGTAGGATATGGTTAACACCAAATTAGTGTATGTTGTTGTTGTTGTTTAATCATGTCTGAATCTTCGTGACCCCATGGACCAGAGCACGCCAGGCACTCCTGTCTTCCACTGCCTCCTGCAGCTTGGTCAAACTCATGTTTGTAGCTTTGAGAACACTATCCAGCCATCTTGTCCTCTGTCGTCCCCTTCTCCTTGTGCTCTCAATCTTTCCCAACATCAGGATCTTTTCCTAGGAATCTTCTCTTCTCATGAGGTGGCCAAAGTATTGGAGCCGCAGCTTCAGGATCTGTCCCTCCAGTGAGCACTCAGGGCTGATTTCCTTCAGAATGAATAGGTTTGATCTTCTTGCAGTGCATGAGACCCTCAAGAGTCTCCTCCAGCACCATAATTCAAAAGCATCAATTCTTTAGCAATCAGCCTTCTTTATGGTCCAGCTCTCACTTCCATACATCACTACCGGGAAAACCATAGCTTTAACTATGTGGACCTTTGTCGGCAAGGTGATGTCTCTGCCTTTTAAGATGCTGTCTAGGTTTGTCATTGCTTTTCTCCCAAGAAGCAGGCGTCTTTTAATTTTGTGACTGCTGTCACCATCTGCAGTGATCATGGAGCCCAAAAAAGTAAAATCTCTCACTGCCTCCATTTCATCCCCTTCTATTTGCCAGGAGGTGATGGGACCAGTAGCCATGATCTTCGTTTTTTTTATGTTGAGCTTCAGACCATATTTTGCGCTCTCCTCTTTCACCCTCATTAAAAGGTTCTTTAATTCCTCCTCACTTTCTGCCATCAAGGTTGTGTCATCTGCATTTCTGAGGTTGTTGATATTTCTTCTGGCAATCTTAATTCCGGTTTGGGATTCATCCAGCCCAGCCTTTCGCATGATGAATTCTGCATATAAGTTAAATAAACAGAGAGACAATATACAGCCTTGTCATACTCCTTTCCCAATTTTGAACCAATCAGTTGTTCCATATCCAGGTCTAACTGTAGCTTCTTGTCCCACGTAGAAATTGGTGTATAGATAATTATAAATCATTGCCCTTTTCCTCTTCCTTTTTATTGACTAGTGTACTAATGTAACTAAATATACTAGTAAGATACACTGATTCAGGAAGGGGTTTGTGTCAGAATCCTTTGCTAAAATGAAGGGGGGGGGGACCCTTCATTTTAGCCATGTCTTGAAGTCATTGTGATGTCAGTTGACTGACCGTCAACTGATGTCAGTTGACTGACAGGTAGGCAATCTCATTAGACGAATTCTGATAAGGATCTGACCAGGGTAGCCAAAAGGTTTCCCAACCCTGGTGCATCCTGCAGTTCTGCTTTTTCTGTGAATGGGGCAGACACAGTATGACTTCCCCATTGCATTTAGTTTGGCTTTCTTGAGTGACAATAAACATGTCCATCTGTTGCTGATTCTTGTACTAGCCAAAACTGTTTCATCAATTTGGGAAGTCTAACTATTTTACAGTTGGTCAAAGTTTCCTCCCCTGTAAAGACATGTGTGTGTACATTTAGTTATGGACCAGTTTTATGAGATTTAACAGCAAAAACTATGCCTTACCCCCAATATATAAAACAATCAACCCAGTAATCACAGGGGGGCACATATATCAAGGATGAGGAACCTATGCTTCTCCATGTGTTACTGGATTACAGCTCCCATCATCCCTGACCATTGGCCATGTTGGTTGGGCTGATGGGATTTGGAGTCCTACAAGAACTGGAGGGCCATAGGTAGTCCGTCTTTCATGTAACACTTTTACTTAACTGGTGCAGAAATGGCTTTTAGATGAGCAGAAATATGCAACTTTGTTTGCAGCCCGTTGTTGTATGTGAAATATTCTTGTAGAGCATTAATGAGAATGATAAATAGCTTGACAGGCTGGCCAGGTGGCATGGCTGTGGCATGTAAGGTTGCTGAACAGGAGACCTGGGTATTTGGAGCAAATTTGGGATGCTTGTTTCCCAGGGCTGGCGGAAGTAGAGCATGAAGAGGAGGTGATGTGATTGATCTCTTTAGAAGAAGCTGCCAGCTGGAGTGCTTGCAAACCGCTCCTCCTATTTCTCCTTAAAGTCAAATTGATGGCAGCTTCTGAAAAGAGCTACCATTCACACATTTTTCTAACCATTGAGCTGTAGAGCTGAAAGCACAGTTACTCCTAAAGAGGAGGAACAGCTTATTTAAAGGGTCAGAAAGAGACACATATGGTGAAACAATGGCAGGGAACAGACCCCTGTTCTATGCAGCTGTTCTTTCTAACCTGTTTTTAAAAAATGATTTTGGAGCGGCAATTCATCTTACAAGGGTACATTTTATTTTTCTTATAGTAATTCTCCCTATCAAATATGCAGCCATTTACTTCCCCTCTGGAATTTAAAATGGTATTTTACAACCTCTTACTTCAGTCTAGTTAAAAGTGCTACTTTAATTTTCGAGGGGATTTCTACCCCAGGGTTTTTAAAGTCTTTGTAGTCAAGCAATCATCTAAATTGATGTTATATTTCTAACAAAAAGCTCTTGCATATGTTGTAACACTTCCACCTCCTTCCCTCCCCATTTCACAGTCTCTCATTCCTCTAACCTGTTACTGTGGATGAATTATACATTGTTTTTAGCTCTGCGGTTAGAAAATATATTGTGGTAAAATAATTGAATCTATTACCTGTAGAATTATGGCAGCAATACAAGACAGCATAACTCCCGGCTGTTTGGGAGTGGGAATGCTGTTGACTGAAGGGACTCTTGGGATTGAGTGAGTTTAATATGTCAGTAGGCAGGGGATTTTACAGATAACAGTACCATGTGCTTTGAGTAATATGGGCCTTGAGCAACAGGAACTGCGTGGGAACAATAGGGGTAGAAGAAGCCTCAGGCAGTGCCAGTTAGAACCCCAGAGATTGTGCAGAAATAGCGTGTGTAGGGTTTATTGGAAGGCCAGATATGATACCAACGAATGCTCCCTGCTACTTCTGCAGTATGTGTAAGTTCCTCCTATTTTACACACAATATATCTTCTGATTTGTTCCATTACTTCTACTATGCTTAGGATTGAGAGTATTTGTAAAAAGTTAAGTGAAACCCTTGGTAGGAACAGGAGGTTCAAATTGAAGAACATTTCTCTGATGAAAATAGGAATGTCCTATTTGATGATGATGATGATGATGATGATGATATTTGTAACCCACCCATCTAACTGGGTTGCCCCAGCCACACTGGGCAGATTCCAACATATAGAAAAACACAATAAAACATTAAGCATTAAATAACTTTTCTATAGAGGGCTGCCTTCAGATGGCTCAGGGATCAGATAACTCCATACCCACCAACATTTCTCCTATGAAAATAGGGACGTCCTAAGGAAAAGTGAGGGGTGCGGGTGGCGCTGTGGTCTAAACCACTGAGTTTCTTGGGCTTGTCAATCAGAAGGTCGCGGTTCGAATCTCTGCGATGGGGTGAGCTCCTGTTGCTCGGTCCCAGCTCCTGCCAACCTTGCATTTCAAAAGCATGCCAAAAAGTTCAAGGAGATAAATAGGTACTGCTCCAGCAGGAAGGTAAATGGTGTTTCTGTGCACTGCTCTGGTGCCGGTGTTCCATTGTGGCAGAAGCGGCTTAGTCATACTGGCCACATGACCCGGAAAAATTGTCTGCGGACAAACGCCGGCTCCCTTGGTCTGTAAAGCGAGATGAGCGCCGCAACCCCAGAGTCATCTGCGACTGGACTTAACTGTCAGGGGTCCTTTACCTTTACCTTTTGAAGGAAAAGTGGGACATTCCAGGATCAAATCAGAAACTGGGACGGCTTCTGTAAATCCAGGACTGTCCCTGGAAAATAGAGACACTTGAAGGGTCTGGGCTCACTTTCCTGAACCACCTTGATCAGTCCATCTTTGTTCAAGAAAAGTGCCCCAGCACTTGCCTACATGGATTTCAGTAGTCAGTAGATCTTACTGTATATCGCCAATGGCCATGACAATGACTACATGGATTGCATTAAGCTATAGCTTGAGATTTCTCTTGATTGATTTTCTTTCTTTCTTTCTTTCTTTTTTAAAAAAGTATGTCTGGTTATGTCTAATGGTTAGCTCTGGGCTCACTGAAGTGTGAAAGCACTTATACTAGGAACTGGACTGAGACCACTTCAAATCCATTGTATTGTAAACTTGCTAAAGTGCTTTCAGATAACATGGGCTGAATTCTTTCACATAACTTTCCTGATTTTCTCCCGCTAGCATTTTGCTCTAAAAACCTGTGTGGTAAAAAAAAAATCTGTGCAGCTTAGTGTGAAAACCTTTTTTCCTGCCTTTTTTATTTTTTTAGGTGTGAGCTAAAAATAGTTTTCAGTGCCCTGGACAGTCATGCTTATTTTTTTTCAAAATAGTAAAAGCAAATGGGTGCTAAAATCTGTTAAGAGTGTTGTGGTGAATATATACCATATTTCTTTTTTAAAACAAAAATCTTTTTCAGCCATTTCTCACATTCATCTGGTATGATTTTGATCATTTTCAAAAATAGAGACATCTGTACAGAGTATTATCTGTACAGAGTAACAATCCGTAGTAGACTTATACTTTGACCTATAGGCATAGAAACAGTGACATTTCAAATTTAAGTAATTCAGACTTATTTTTTTATATATATTATGTTTTTTCACTACGCACATAAACCATAGACAAAAGCAAATACTTTGAATACAATACTTTGAATTAAGCAATATGAATATAGTGTTTGTTTTTGCATGACCCCACCTTATACTATAGCATTGTTACTATGCATCATATGCCTTTTTTTGCTAAGACCTGATTAATCATTCTGGCTGCTGTTATGGATCATCACACACACACACACACACACACACACCATGGCAAGGGGTCCTTGTGACTAGTGCAATCTGTGTAAAGAGGCTTACTATTTTGATTGCCCATGCAAATGCCTCACCTTCCTGAGAGATGTTGGCATAGAAGCTTTCCACTCAAAAGAGTCAATCTACATGATAAGACCTCTTAATACGTTATGACAGGGTTGACTGAAGTTCCTTCCATGCAGAACTTAATGAATGAATGACTGTAGTGAATGAGGCAACCCCCATGACTGATTTAGAACACCGGTGCAGATTTTTTGTGTGAATGTCCATGCTGGTCTACAAAACCAAAGCTGCATGTAAAACCAGATAGAATAGTCTCTTAGAGTAACTAGTGTGATTACAAACTATTAGTGTAGCACACTGGTATAAGTGAATTAGAGGATTGCTACATATTCTTTAGTAGAAAATGCCCTAACTCCCAGATAAGGAAGATTTGTCCATATCTGAGAAGGTAATCCGAACTCAGGCTGCTTACTGTCTATCAATATTAGGAAAGAAGGAGGCAGAGAAGCTGCTTGGAGTTGGGATTTTATTTTTAAACATGAATTTCCATATTCACATGCTAGTGAATGCAAAAAGGAGGAAAATTTGAATGTGTAAAAGCTATAAAAAGGAGGGGGGGAATCTGGCTGCTCTTACAAGATCATATTTTCGCTTCAACAACTTAACCTTGGGTCTCCTTTGTCTTTTTTTCTGCTGAAAAGGTCTCATTCGATTGCAAGAGCTTATTAAGGCTCCATCGCGGTACAACCTGCGACTAAAAATCCGCCAGTTACCAGCTGACACAAAGGATGCAAAGCCCTTGCTCAAGGAGATGAAAAGAGGCAAGGAATTCCACGTCATCTTTGACTGCAGTCATGAAATGGCAGCAGGCATTTTGAAACAGGTAATTACACCCCTTTCCTAAATACAACACTAAGATAAGGCAGAGATGGTATTGAAGCGAAGGCTTGGGAAACCTGGTTATGATGATGGAACCCAGTTAGCAGTAACTAGAGTTATTGTCACGGCACATGAAACATTGACTCTGGAATGGTCAGCCTGTGGCCCCTAGTGCTGCACAAGGCCCTCTACCTAATTTCATGAAGCCCTTGCCCTAATTTCAAAAGCCTTCTGTCAGTGATTAGTTCAGACCTCTGGAAAGAGCAGTCTATTGTTCCTCCAGCAGCCTGCTGGGTGGGGAGCAGTTGAGAGCGATAGTGTGTGTGGGTGGGGAGAGAATCAGAAAGACAGCCGACAGAGGTGGCAGAAAAGAGAGTAGCCTGAGCCACCTTTGGTTTGGTGCCCCATGTGTCTTCTGCCCCATCTATTGATTAGTATATGGACCCCAGCAGGTTGCCCCAGAGGGAATGTAGTTCTCAATCATTCCAGGGTGCAGTCTGATGGCACATGAGGCCACCACTTTGTTGAAGTCTGGATCTATGCCTGGATAGGAGACTGCAATATAAAGGTGTGATATAAAAGTAAGAAAGCAAAGAAACAAATATATGGTTTCCTGTCCCTGCACTAAACTCATGCCAAAAGCAAACCAAGGGAAAAGGAAAACATTCATTCCTCAAATGGCTCTTGAATTCCAAACCAAAATATACAGGAAAGGTGCCTCTATATGCTACCAGAAGTATTCTAATAACGTGGATTGTTTACTTTAGTCTGGCAGGCTGCTACCCTAGAGTAAAACCTCCTGATTTATTTTCACCTCTTCTTCTTCCGATCGTTGTTATGTAAAGCTTCAATATATCTAAATTGGTGTGGTCAGATTGCTTGCACTCCACAGTTTCATCTGTTTGGATGTGGTCAGCGTTCACCAAGAACCTCTCCCCAGTCACATCATAACAACAGCAGTACTTTAAAATGTTGGCACCACAGAGAGTTCCAAGTGAAGAGGAGAACATTTCTAGGAGGTCAGAACCTAAAAGCACTGAGAAAGTATTATGGTCTTTAATATAGACCCAATATTGGGACATGTGCAGGCTCCAGAGTGCCTTGTATGTGGTAAGGGTGTTTTCGAAAACAGGTCCACACCATGACATTGGTGAACTGGATCCCATACTGACTTGCCCACTAGAAGGCAGAACTATTTCCACCTGGGCTTGAAGTGAGTGACACTGCTGGAGGAGAGCAATGTAAACCTTGAGCTCTTCATTCAAATTAGCAGGACAGATTTATTTGGGCTGGGTCTAAGTCACGTGTCAACCTAAGTCTTGGTGTTTTCTACAAAATAGTTATTCACAAACTCACAAAATGTGCATTACCTTGGTTTTATTATGATATCTCGTTTATTGGACATGGTAGTCTGCTCTAGCACAGAAGTTTGTATCTTGCAAAGAGGTGGGTAAATATGTGCACCTTTCCTTTCCTTGAAGCTTTTGTTTGGAGACTGCCATTGTTCAACCACCTGAGCAGTGGAGATGGAAACTAATGAAAACTTACTTTGTCTCCTCTGTCCCCTGGTCTTACTTGTGTTCATAAATACAGGTGAGATCTTAACTTTTTAGTCTGTTCATGGGAGGAGAATTGTGCTCATGGAAGGGATCCTCTCAGTGGTTCTGCCTCTGTTCACAGATCAAAAAGTTAAGATCAAAGCCATACTTTTGTTGGATCGCAGCCTAAAAGTGCAACAAAAATTGCTGATGTCGTTTGAATATTCATACGCTTTAAAACACTTGAGTCCAGAGTGTTTACTAGTTTTGTGCTAGCTAAAAACCCAGCAACCTGAACAATAAGTTAGTCCATCAGCCAAGTTGCATTATTTATAATGGACCAATAGGTTGTAGGTGAGCAGCAACTGTGGCTTTTATTAGTTTCTCTGTCAGCAAAAACAGCCCTGTACTATATAAGTATTAGAGCAAAGTGGAACCCTGGCTTTATCACTCCCATCTCCTTTACACAGTAAAAAGATTTTCTTTGCTGAATTATCTCTTTCCCATCCTGCTTATTAATGGCAAGGATTTGTTCTGCCTAATGCTCCAAATATACAAAACCAATTCTCAGGCTACTTCCTTGAGCAGATCAGGAACATTGACTTGAATATATGCAGCCATGGATTTACTTTTCTTAGGAGTGCACTTTTTGCATATGAATTATTTTGTTAAATATTTCTTTTCTTTCCCTCTTGATACTCGAAGCACTCTAGTTCATTTAATAACCCAAGTGTCTGTGTCTTTTTAAAAATTAGGCTTCGGCACTGATATGCAAAGTGCCCCCATACCTTGCCACCCGTATGTGAGTTGATTATGTGTGTAACAGCATGATGAGAGTTTCATATTCTGAATCCATGCTACATATATTTTGCAATGAAGAGCACTGCAATGCATTCAGCTGGCAAAGGACCAGATGAAGGCGGTTGCATTTTAATACTCCTATTTATTTTCACACATCTTATGCAAGTTGCCTTTAAGACTCAGTGGTGTTGTCTAGAACCAAGCCTTGCATTCCCCCAAGCCTCTGGTGTAGGAAAAGAGAAGAACAAACACTGCTCTCTTCCTTGACTTCCTTGGAGCATGAGGTGGCATAGTATAAATGTCTACTCTGAGTTGCCCCCTCTCATGCTCCAAGGTCTTTGATGTGGGGAGAAAGATGCAAAAACTCTGCTACAACTTTGCTCTGGAATCTCAAAGCAAGCAAATTAGCAGCCTTTCCTGACCTCGCCTTCTCCGTTGAAATCTTAAGAGGCTTGTGAGCCAGAGGTCTAATGTGTGCCCTGGGGTATGACTGGACTGCGTCTTACCTCTAGCCCACCTACCCATGTGGGTAGGTGAGAACATTACCCTTTCCTTCTGCTGTAGCTTAAGAGCCAGAAAGTGGCAGTCTGATGCACTTGCATGTTTGTAATGGAGAATGAAGCCCACTCTGGGATTTGGATACAAAATGGAATAGACTTCCCTACCCCTAATCTATATGTGGTGTACATTCCCATCACTGTGTAGCAGTCCTAGATGCTGATTTTTCAACCCTTCCTCTTAATTCTTAAAAATCCATATCAGAAGATTAAAGTTATTAGCCACAAAGCGTGGTGCTGATAACACCAAGATTGCAGGTTTGAACCCTGTATGGGGCAGCTGCATATTCCTGAATTGCAGGGGGTTGGATCAGATGATCCTCAGGGTCCCTTCCAACTCTACAATTCTATGATTACTTACCAAACAAAGAAGATGGGTACAGTGAGGCTTCAGGGATATGCTTTTAGCCCCAGCCTCTGAGGTCACACCAATTTCCCCAGATTCTCACATGTTTAGGCTGCAGCAGGGAGCCTCAGGGAGCTGTGAAGGTGTTCAACCTAAACTAATGAAGTAAGAACCACAGGACTTTGGCAGCAGGGCTGAAAGTGCTGCCCTGTTGTATCAGTGTTCTCTTTTGATAAACAAGGCCTGAAATAGGCTGTTCTTTGTGCTTCTGTTTGATTGAACAGAACAGCCTTAATTCCTCTGAGGAGCTGCCCTGTTTGGTGATCTTTCAGGCATTCTTCTCTGTTTTGCCCGTCTGCCCCGCGGAGGGAAAACACTGCAGAGAGAAGGTGTGACTCAGTCACAGGGATGAAGCAAGGTGCCTTCCTGATTCTTGTCATTCAAGACTCATCAGCGCTATTTTGTGTACCTCTTTACAGATTTATTTAGCTTCAATTTCAGCTCATATATTCACAATAGCTCTTCTTATTTTCATCCATTTGTCTACATGACACCATCTTGGTGGATGAAGGAAGTTAGTTCTGACCACGGCAACATTAGATTCAGTCTCACTTATTAATCCGAGAAATGATTATGGAAAATCTAAACTGCACAGCTGAAGCTGATGTGCTGCTTAGAAAGATTTGGAAATAACACCGGGGAGTTGGAAAGTAGCCCTGGTGCTTTATATGAGCCATCAATGCTTTAAAAATGTGCCTGCAGTGCTTGAAGCTTAAGTGCTGCTTGTGGGGTAGGGTGTTGAAGTGTTCTGTGTTTGCTGCCAGCCTTCAACCTCCCTTTTAATTGAGTAATATTGTTCACTTGGAGTAACTCTACATTTTTCTCATTACGTATCCTTTCTGGTGAAGACGTATAATAAATACAATTAATGGAACCATTCTCGATTCAGATTTTTGGTTGGCAACTGAAAGCTCCCATTAATATGTAAAACTGTAAGCTTCTTTCACATTTGCAGCCCTAAACAGTTCACTAATAATCTTTCTATCAGCAGATTTGCTCCATAAATTCCTTTAATAGCAAGTAATCTGCTCCAACTGCTAAGGAATGATTTGCTTGACCTAATTTTAATATGATTCCAGCCCTATAGTTTCATCCCAATGGTATTCTTCAAAAAGCCTTTCATTATTCATATAGGTGTGATTAAAAGCAATGCTATGTGTAACCTTAGAAATATTAAAAGCAATGTTATGTAACTTTAAAATAATAATAATAATGTGTGTGTTTGATTCCCCCCCTTTCCTTTAGGCTTTAGCAATGGGAATGATGACAGAATACTATCATTACATCTTTACCACATTGGTAAGTAGCTTATAGGAATCTGCTGGCGGTCTCAGACAAAGGCCTTTGGTTTCTTAATTATATTGCTTGACAAAGTGAGAGTGGTCTCTCAGGAATAGAAGAGAAAGAAGTACTGAGTGTTTTCTCCTCTTGATTTTGATAAGTTGCAGCGGAAGCTCTGGAGGATGGTTTAATTAATGTTCATAAGTATTATTCTGGAAAACTGACACTCCTTGCGACGAAATTGGAGGGCAGAACTGATTTTACAGTTTTGCAGACAGTTATTTGTTCTGGAGAAACACACAGCATGCAGTTCAGAATGAGCAGATCACTTCTCCCTTCTTTTTGGAGGAGACTTGTTTGATCCTATTTGTTTTGCAATAAAAAAATGTTTGTCAACACCTGGGAACATTTCCGGGTTTTAGACAGCTTGTTGTATTTTGGCTCTTGTAATTAGATGGGGGAAAGTTCTATCTGAATAGGAATAGCTTTGGTCCCCTTTGTAAACCTGGTAGCCACTTGAAAGAATAGACAGGAGCACGGAGGAAAGTCTCTAACTATTTGCCTCCCTAAGTCATAATGAGATCGTGCCAAAAATCTGCATTCTAGCTTTCTTGCATTCCAGTTTTTGCCCCACACCCTTAGAGGAACTCACCAACATACAGGCAGGACTTGGAGCTCACAAACAACCAGAAAACTGCAGTTGTTAGGCTTTTAATAGATATACATTATAGGAAACAGAGGAGACCCTTGGAGTCCCATGGACTGCAAGAAGATCAAACCTATCCATTCTGAAGGAAATCAGCCCTGAGTGCTCACTGGAAGGACAGATCGTGAAGCTAAGGCTCCAATACTTTGGCCACCTCCTGAGAAGAGAAGACTCCCTGGAAAAGACCCTGATGCTGGGAAAGATTGAGGGCACAAGGAGAAGGGGATGACAGGGGACGAGATGGTTGGATAGTGTTCTCGAAGCTACCAGCATGAGTTTGACCAAACTGCGGTAGGCAGTGGAAGACAGAAATGCCTGGCGTGCTCTGGTCCATGGGGTCACGAAGAGTAGGACACAACTAAACGACTAAACAACAACAACAATAGGAAACAGAACAGCAATCCTGAAAGTTTTGCAATAGTTTCTAGATCCATTCAAAGGGTTTTCACATTTGAAACCTTAAATTCTGCCTGCATCCAGAGTGTCCGATGGTGCATTCCTTCCTGTGTGGGGAAGGGCCATTGCTCAGTTGTAGAGCATCTGCTTTCCATGTGGAAACTTCATTCCCTTGCCTCTCCAGGTAGGGCTGGGAGGAACTCCACCTGAAACCTTGGAGAGTCGCTGCCAGTCAATGTAGACAGTCATGAGGAAGAGATACCAATGGCAAAAGGCAGCTCATAGTCCCATGCACCCAATGAGGCTTGTATTGTGTGGAAAGAATGAGATGACTAGAAAGGGACATGCATCCTCATTCCAGTTAGCAGCCTTCTGCTGTCAAGCAGCATTTGTTGGTTTTGATATGTCTGTGGAGGAGAGGCAGAGTGGAGGGGAGAGAGAAGCCTAGCAGATTAAAGTGGATTTCAAAATGAGCCACTTTCAGATGCTGCTGCTGCTGCTGCTGTAAATGTCAGCCGTCTGCTGCATACTTTATCGGCACAGATTTCTTCTGGATGTTCCTGCTGGAGATCCCGAGTGATCCAGTGGTTAAGCCCAAAATAATGGCAAGAAGGCAGTTCTATGGCTGACTGGACCAAGCCTAGTAAACTGGCTTGCTGGAAGTCTGTCTCTCTGAGTTCCTTCGAAGAAAGAGCAAGGGGCCAGGCCAACCCATAAATGAATCGAATAAATAATAAAATAAACATGCCATAAAAGTTCTGCACTTCAGGATCAGACTTCTGGACTAATTACGTATCCCCATTTGCTAATTAGGTCTCGGGAGCAGGCTGGTGGGAGGGTGGGTGTTTTCCCCCCTGAAGAATTGAATGTAAACTTCAGCAGTTGACAACTGAGGATAATTTGGGACATGCCAGGAGATGATAGATTTTTATGCTCAGTGGAGCCATGTAACTTCTATCACTTTTTGGCTCCTCTGCTTTATTAATTACTTCTTACCTGACACAGCGAAAGTCGTGTCCAATAAATTTTCTAGTCACGCTGTTTAGCTGTGCTGTTTGGAAGTGTATTTTCCCATGATTGATTTGGAGCCTAATGTAATAGCTCATTAATTCTCTGAACTGTTGTGCATATTTATTATAGTTTTGAGTAAACAGGAATGTGTTTAAATTACATAATTATTTATGCTATTGTCCAAGGTAGTCTGGAAGCCACCCAAAATTTAAAAAGTCAGGGGGGTTGGAAAAGAACTTTGGGGCATTATTTCAAGCAGTTCTGCACCTAGCCAAACCTGTTTCCCTATGCTGTGGGGGAAATTTGCCACTTCCTATCATGTCTTGGTCATGCCATCTCTTAAATTGTTATTGAGAAGTGCTAGACACTTTTGCACATTCACTTCTGTTCTCTCCTCCTAAAACACTATAGTCAGGAAGATGGACTATAGTCAGGAAGATGGACTAAGTCAAACTATATATGGTAGTGTGGGTATGCATACTGGAAGATTAATGTGTGATTGGACTATATCTTGCCAGATAGGTAATTAGGTCTTGGCACTTTTCAGCTGTGTGATAATACTGTATAATTCTTACTGCTTCTTCTCTTCCCCCCACCAACTAAATAGTGTCTTAAAACAAAGGTGGAAGGGCAGCTCAGTGTTTTGGAAAGTCACTGTGCATTGTAGCATAGACCCAGAAGAAGCATCTACGTGACCTAGTCACATTGTGAAAAATGATACTATAAACTCTAATTGGAATTTGGAATGTTAACTATCTCTGAGATTAGCTTGGGTTCTTTCATTAACAATGAACAATTAATCATATGCCACTGTCTTGGGGGGGGGGGCGCTACTGCTGTCCCTTCTCTCGTTCTCTCTCTCTCTGTGTGCATGTGTGCACTGGTCTATCTGTCTGTCTGTCTGTCTCTCCCTGCCTTTTACTGAATAAATAAGTGCATCTTGTTTGATCCCTGCCAAAGCACTGCTGCTTCAGAAACTAGTAACAAAATTTCAGTCTTTGGCATGAAAAGTAAAAATTCACAGTTCCCATACAAAGGCTAAATTTTTGTCCAGTTAATAGAAGTAGACATTCTTGCCTGTTGAAATCAAGCAGGTGCCTTCACTGCTCTCTTTTTATTTTGTTGATATGTTACCCGTTTTCCATATCTACGCTGAACAAACTAGTTACTTGGTTTGCATACATCTTGGTTTGCAAAGTTTTGGATTACAAACATGTCCAACCCGGAAGTGCATGCCCCAGTTTGCAACCTTTTTTTGGATTACAACCCATTTTTGGGGGGAGGATTACGAACAAATTTTTTTTGGAGGCCCTATTGGTGAAAGCGCGCCTTGGGTTACAACCTGTTTTGGTTTACAAATGGACCTCCGGAACAGATTATGGTTGTAAACCAAGGTACCACTGTATGTAGTCCTATTCAGGTATTCTCCCTCACACAATTGACAATCTTGTGAGTGGCAGTATGTTGCAAAAAAGGGGAATATGGTTCTGCTTGTGAATTTGTAGATTTTAGCACTGGAGAAAATTTGTTGAACTTGGGTCTTTCTATTATTTTCCTGCATATAATATCTGATATCTGACAAACCACTGAAAACAGGCTTATTAAAGCAGAAAAGCCTAACGTTTGCCTAATTCAGGTTTATGGAATGTTAGTAAACAATGGAGTATGCAGCTCACTGACTTTGCTTGACTTTTCCGCATATTGTTAATAGCTATTCAGGTTCGTTTGGGCTCTCAGTGCAGATGTAGGTAATCAGAAGCAGTATAAATTAGTCATTTATTTTCATGTACATGTAACGTTGTTGGCAATTAATTCAATGCACAATATTCTGGACTTTTTGAGCACTGTTTATTATTCTAAAGTCACCATAATTGCATTGGAGAGGGCAATAAATACTTGTTTGAATGGAAAAGATTCAGGATGTGTCATAGCAACTACAAATGTCCATCCTTTCTTCTCTTCCTTCAGGACCTCTTTGCTCTTGATGTGGAGCCATATCGGTATAGTGGGGTTAACATGACTGGATTCAGGATTTTGAATACAGAAAACAGCCAAGTGGCATCCATCATTGAAAAGTGGTCCATGGAACGATTACAAGCACCTCCAAAGCCTGATTCAGGTTTGCTGGATGGATTTATGACGGTAGGAGCACAATCTACAGTTTAGTTCATGTGGACCTACAAATGTTTTAGAATTTCAACCTTCCCTTTAGCTGTATATTTGGTTTTATTACACATTTCCTTCTGAATGCTTTATTTTGCTGTCTTCAACAAGATGCCTCATCTCTCAGTCTGTGATATCTGAGAAGTGAAGCTGAGCAAATCACATGAAGTATATATCAGAGTGTTTGGCCTGAATCATGCAACTCGTTGTGGAAGCACCAGATACTAAGATTAGAATTTCATTGTAGTACATATATATTTTAAAAGAGGGTTGTGGGATCTGTTTTTAGGAGGCTTCATGTAATCTGCCAGGAAAATTTGGCTTTTAAGTTTCTGTTGTAATTTATCTGGGTCTGAGTTAACTTCTATTGATGTGAAATGGGGGTTTACTTTCATACTGTTAAACTTTCGTGATGGCCAGATGACTACAAATAAACAAAACTACTAAGATTGGAAGGATGAGGTTTAGTACTGGCATGTGGGCACAGAAGTATTGGCTGCCTTTATTTTTCTTAGAAGGCTCCACAGGAATGACACTGAGTGATGGAATTAAAAAATGGTGCCTCTGATCCAGCAATTTTCCAGGGGGGCTGCCTTCTTTCACACACACCTTGCAGCATTCTCAAAATTTAAGCTGGGCTCTTCCTTAAGGGGTACATAAATATTGTGGTGGTGACAATGAGGGAACAGAAGAGTTTTCATCCATCCTTCATTTAAATCACAGTAAATATCTAATAGATGACCATGAAACTCTTGTGGTTACATTCCACACAATAAGCACAACAGCACTGAATGTGCTGTCTGGAGGAAATATCATATTTCTCCAGGTGTAATATAGGTGTGAATGATTGATGGGGGTTGCACTGGTAACATGGACATAGGTGCACCCTCACACATGCGTACACTGACAAAACATTGGCATAGTCTTCTATTTTAGATTTGACTTCTTTCAATCTTAGTATATACTTTGCTGCATTGGGTTTTTGAAAGAGGGTAAGATTTTGTAATTTAGCATTTAAGTCTCTACATTTGCAAAAAGAAAGAAAGAAAGAAAGAAAGAAAGAAAGAAAGAAAAGCAAAGCAGGGGGGAAGTGAAACTTTTGCTTACTAGATAAAGGGTCATTGTCAACACTGGGAGCATTCCCGTTTGTTTAATGCAGTGGGCTTATATTGCTTATACATTTCATGTTCTCTTTTTCTCCTGATGTTGTAAGGCAATAGGAATCTCGGCGCAGTTCCTTGTGTCTGAAAGAAAGACCCATTATTGGTGGTGCTAACACAGTCATTTGTCACTATATAAGATTCTAGAGCTTATGCATTTTCCCCTTGGCTTTATCTCTGAGCTATAGTAGGAAATAAAGAAAAAAGGAATTGGATTCGTTTATGAAGTCTCATGGCTCAGTTAACCCCTTTAATTGGTTCCTAGGAGCTATCATCTGAGTCCATCTATTCAGCTGCACTGTAATGAATGTTTTGCGCTTTCTGGGCAAGTAGGGTGGCAGTGGTGTAAGGGAGAATTTCCAAAGTTGCTTTGTTAGATGTTCCTCTTGGCTATCAAAAGCTTATCTTCAAATCTATTGCTGACAGTGTGGCAGCAGCCAGTGGGCTTTGCTGTGCCACAAGTTATGGATTATTCTCCTGTTACTAGCTGTAGGTCTCTCTTGTAGGGAAAGGAGTCCAGGGAGCCACAATCAGATGAGCTCCTCCTGCACTCCTGGCTCTTCATTATAGAACAAGATGGGAGCTAACATGAGATGCATTGTAGTGGAACAGTGCTGTTTCTTTCATGTGAACTGTCCATTCATCTCATGGGGGCAGAGGGAGTCCAGTTGCACTTTGTCGTTGTCAGATGAAGTGCTTTGTTTACAATTCACTCACCCTTTTTATGAGGAAACATATGACGCTCTCTGATGTCTGCATTCCAGAAAGGTTTGGTTCTGCCTCATTATATTAGAAAGTACATAGGAAGCAACCCTATACCAGGTTAGACTGTTGATCCATTTAGCTCAGTACTGTCTGTGTGAGTCTCTCCAGGGTTTCATAATGGGGGTCTTTCACAGCCCCACCTGGAGATGCTGGGGGCTTGAACCTCAGGTCTTCTGCATGCAGAGATCAGATGCTCTCCCACTGAGCCATGACCCTTAAGTGTCAAAACTTAAGTGATTCCAAGTTACTTTTTGTTTAGACTAGGCAGGGGCGAGTAGAGAAGAGTCAAATGCCACCAGCCTTTTACACACAGTGGCTTTTTATATAGCATTGAATTTGTTCTAGATGAAATGTACTCTTTAAACATTTCCAACAAGGTGCTTGCCCTGTTCTTAAAGCAATGCAAAGGGTTTAGCAAGATCTTATCGGATTAGGATTATTTTTTTGGTGGGGCGGGGATTTTTCTTCTTACAGCTATAACAAAGAAGCACTATTACTGTGACAGAAAAGAGCTAAAATGCTGCCGCTAGGGACCTAAGTCTTGATGGAAATTCAAGAAAATGGTTTGCAACTAGGATTTTCAAGCTAATTTGCCATGGACAAATTGCTTAAACACTTTCGTCATGTCTCTGATTCCCCCAACCACTGCAGTCGTATACAAACACTTATTCAATCTACCTCACAGCATGTCTGAGAGATTAATTAGCCAATGCTGGTATGATACTTAGAAAATCTAAACCGCTGCATCATTATTAATAAGGAAGTCAGAGAAATTGTCATGCTTCCAACTGCTGTCTAACTATAGAGCTGTAACCAGAAATAACTTTTTGAATTAAAATGTGAATTCTATATATTCAGTAGAACTGTTTTCTGGAGAATAAAAAGCAATTGGAAGAATATAAAGGAAAATGAAGAGTGAACAATAACCAGGTTTGTGCAGTTCGAACAACACGTATGAAACTTGATATTCTCTAATCTGGCCACCTCTAAAGAAGGTGGAATTAATTCACCTCTGCAAAAAATGTTAAGTGTAGTTGGCTTGACCTCAGTCACCCATTTCTATACATGTGAGGCCATTCAGGATCTCATAATGTATTTTATAAGTGAAATTGCTAATTTCAGTATCAAAGGGCATCCTTTTTCTGTCCATCAGTGAGTGGAATCTATTGCAAGAACAGTGCCCTGTGGGGTACTATCTATACATAATATATCCAGCAGTTTAGGATGCACTCTGTAAATATAAATTATTATTAGACCATGTTTCCAATTTAATTGGGACATGCTAAATCAAGAAAGTTGTTTTAATTTCATGTCTCCTGGGAAACTGATTTAGCTTAATGATACCAATGGCTGCTTATTTGGAACAATATTAGCATAAAAATCTGCCTAATGGGTGTGCATTTAGCTAGTGCCAATTAGTTAAATGTCACTTAGCCAGGTGTTAATAGGTATAAAATTCTGACATCTGGACACATGGAAAGATACCAAATCAAAATTAAGGTTAGATATTTTTATGAACAGTCTGGCCGATTCTGTCATTAAATGTTTTTTTTTAAAATGGGACAGAATCAATTTTCATTAAACCTCTAATCTCCATGGACAGTGTTTGTTCTTCCAAAAGGTTAGCCAGTAAACTCTAGCACCTGTCCCAAAGTGGAGGCCATTATGCTGATACAGGACATCATGGCCATGTGAGAGGGTTCTCCCTCTCCTGACCTGGACAGGTGATGGGTGCTTATAACCTTGATTAGCCTAATCGTGTGGGGGCAGGAGGTGGGGAGTTGCTTCCCCACACAACCCCAGAGCCAGTGTGGTGTAGTGGTTAAGAGCGGTGGACTTGTAATCTGGTGAACCGGGTTCGCTTCCTTGCTCCTCCACATGCAGCTGCTGGGTGACCTTGGGCTAGTCACACTTCTTTGAAGTCTCTCAGCCCCACTCACCTCACAGAGTGTTTGTTGTGGGGGAGGAAGGGAAAGGAGAATGTTAGCTGCTTTGAGACTCCTTCGGGTAGTGATAAAGCGGGATATCAAATCCAAACTCTTCTCTTCTTCTTCTTGTGTTAATAGCTTCAGGGTCTTATAGGAGCACAGGCATAGTTTGCTTGCGTATAATGTACAGTTGTCTGCAGCATTCAACTTTATGCGCGGGGACATTTTCTATCCATGGAAATTCATTTTTGTATGTAGATCACCCTTGTAGGAACTTTTCTGTAACATAGTTGCAGTGCTGCTCACAATCAGTCAGTGTATCAAGTTTATCGATGAAAGAAAGCTTATGCAAAACTGCATCCCATTCACGAAGGATGATGCAGTAAACAGTGTTGCACACAAAGTACAATATAAAAACCAATACAAATGAATTCATTGGGTCATAGCCCTAAATAAATTTGACGTGTTACATTTTCCTTCCCTTTTGAGGAAAGATAGGTAGACCATGCAGCTAGTAAATCATTGGGGTTTCTCTTTAAAATGTACATAATTATGGCTGTGGTAGAGAACTTAACATTTCCCAACATATAAAGCAGTTATGAATCTACATGGGTAATGCCAATTTTTTTTTTTTTTTTAAAAAAGAATGTTGCATGCTTACATTGATTCTTGGCAGCACATCCAGGTTTTACGCCTTTCCTACTAATTTATTTGTTGTCATTTACAACCAGAAGTGATATATTTATCCCTCTTCTCCTAAGCAATCATATATTGTCTATCAAATCCCACTAGGGGCGCCTTGAAAGATGGCTGCTAATAACATCTTGTCCAGCTTGCAAGAGGTAATTAGAGGCTGATATGGGGAGTACATCAGCCTCCCTTCGTCTTTTCAGGGAAGGAAAAGACGCTGCCTCACCTGCTGTTGCCATAAATCACCCCCGAGTCCGGATGAAGGAGGGCCAGATGAACTGCATCCAAGAGTATTAAAAGAACTGGCAGATGTGATCTCAGAACCACTGGCAGTCATCTTTGAGAATTCCTGGAGAACAGGCGAAGTCCCGGCAGACTGGAGGAGGGCAAATGTTGTCCCTATTTTCAAAAAGGGGAAAAGAGAGGACCCAAATAATTACCGCCCAGTCAGTCTGACATCAATACCAGGGAAGATTCTGGAGCATGGATTTCTGAAAAATAAGTCATGTCAGACTAACCTGATCTCGTTTTTTGACAGAATTACAAGTGGATGTAGCCTACCTTGATTTCAGCAAGGCATTTGACAAGGTGCCCCATGATATTCTTGTAAAGAAGCTGGTAAAATGCGGTTTTGACTATGCTACCACTCAGTGGATTTGTAACTGGCTGACTGACCGGACCCAAAGGGTGCTCATCAATGGTTCCTCTTCATCCTGGAGAAGAGTGACTAGTGGGGTGCCACAGGGTTCTGTCTTGGGCCCGGTCTTATTCAACATCTTTATCAACGACTTGGATGATGGACTCAAGGGCATCCTGATCAAATTTGCAGATGACACCAAACTGGGAGGGGTGGCTAACACCCCAGAGGACAGGATCACACTTCAAAACGACCTTGACAGATTAGAGAAAACTGGGCCAAAACAAACAAGATGAATTTTAACAGGGAGAAATGTAAAGTATTGCACTTGGGCAAAAAAATTGAGAGGCACAAATACAAGATGGGTGACACTTGGCTTGAGAGCAGTACATGTGACAAGGATCTAGGAGTCTTGGTTGACCACAAACTTGACATGAGCCAACAGTGTGACGCGGCAGCTAAAAAAGCCAATGCAATTCTGGGCTGCATCAATAGGAGTATAGCATCTAGATCAAGGGAAGTAATAGTGCCACAGTATTCTGCTCTGGTCAGACCTCACCTGGAGTACTGTGTCCAGTTCTGGGCACCACAGTTCAAGAAGAACACTGACAAACTGGAATGTGTCCAGAGGAGGGCAACCGAAATGGTCAAAGGCCTGGAAACGATGCCTTATGAGGAACGGCTAAGGGAGCTGGGCATGTTTAGCCTGGAGAAGAGGAGGTTAAGGGGTGATATGATAGCCATCTTCAAATATATAAAAGGATGTCACATAGAGGAGGGAGAAAGGTTGTTTTCTGCTGCTCCAGAGAAGTGGACACAGAGCAATGGATCCAAACTACAAGAAAGAAGATTCCACCTAAACATTAGGAAGAACTTCCTGACAGTAAGAGCTGTTCGACAGTGGAATTTGCTGCCAAGGAGTGTGGTGGAGTCTCCTTCTTTGGAGGTCTTTAAGCAGAGGCTTGACAACCATATGTCAGGAGTGCTCTGATGGTGTTTCCTGCTTGGCAGGGGTTGGACTCGATGGCCCTTGTGGTCTCTTCCAACTCTATGATTCTATGAGAGGCACTAGGTGGAAAGCCCTTGGGCAAGCTTGGAGCTCCCTGCCAGCTTCTTTCAGGAGTGAGCCTGGCTGCGATGTTTAAAAAGAAGAAAAGAATTGGACCAATAAACGCACATGCTTCAAGAGAAATCAGGAATGCTTTTATCTGCTAATAAATTTACCACTGAGTGAAGAAGATCGAGACGGAAGGACGAAGGACGAAAGGAACAGAGATAACACCAGAGAACTGCCGACATTTTGGTATGTGGACGGTACGGGGGGGGGGAAAGACTTTTTTATTTTATTTTTATGTGAGTACCTGATAACCCTCCCCCTCAAAAAACCGTCTCGACGACTAATTTACAAGTGGGAATGAAAATGAACTTTGTGGAAAAAAATATATGTCTGTGAAAGATTTGGAAACAAGTGAGTCTCTCTCAGTGACGCAGTAAGAAATGCTTCAATGCGTAGGCAGATCTCAGCTGCAAGATGGATGGTCTAGGGAGGAAGAGCCGCTTGGATATCAGGCTGGAATCGTAAATCAGAAAGGGCTGTTATCCTCCTGGAAGACTAATTATGAGGCAGCGGGTCTGGAAAGTAAACGAGTGGACATTTAGACTGTATTTCACCGGAGTGTCTGCTCAAAAACATGATGGTTGGATTTGTGGACATATGAGAGAGCATTATAAAACCGACACAGAGACAAAATAAGACTGTTCCTTTTAATCCACTTGTGGAGAAAACTCAGAGGTGACAGAAAAGGAAAATGAATAAATGACAAATATGAGAAGATGGGACTGGAAACATCATTGCAGTAAGGAAAGCAGCACGAATTTGGATCTTTGGATTCCTGACGATCGAGGAGCATTGGTACCCCCCACAAAAAAATTTTAATTTGGAAAACATTTGGACTTTATG